CTCTCTCTCTCTCTCTCTCTCTCTCTCTCTCTCTCTCTCTCTCTCTCTCTCTATATACCACGTATTCCTTCCCCAATGTTACGTCCTAGCTGGCCTTTGATGGCTGGTCAGAACCAACACCCCTTATCCTGCCCGTTCTCACTTGGTTACTGTGAACACGATCCTCCTCATATTCTCTGACAACGATTGCCCATTCTCCGTAGGTGCCTCCAAGTCATATGACATTGACACCACATACGCTGAACTCTATGGTTTTCACATAATAATGAAGATGCTAATGCTATTAGACAATCCTGTAGATTACTAGTACCTCTATTGGCTGTTGAAACACCAATATCTGGTTTATGTGTCGAGTCGCTCGTTGAGTCACATTACCCTTGGGTCGAGACCCATCGTCGAAGAGAGAGGTACTCCCCCTGTCAAGACGTATTCGCTTTTTTGACAAGGACGTAATCCTCATACGAATGATCCTTCAAAAAGGCTTATTCCATAAATGTAATCAGCAGATATGACTCGATAAATATATCCCGGCATTTCTTGTCTTCACGAACACTGGAGATAACACTATTCTCTCCACGTATCTGATGTCACACCCTCTGTCATGCTGTTCCAATTTACCTGTTGATGATAGTGCGCCACATAGAACATGGATGCAACGCATGCATACGCGAATGCGTGGTTGCTTGACCGCATCAAAACGCAGCTAGTCTCTCGTTCATGCGATCGTGCACATAACCGGAGTGCTATCTCATTCTTACAACAATGGCCACAAACCTCCTCCTTTTCACTTACCCCTAATATACTGGTATCGGTGGATGAAATCATGATAGAAAAACCAGCCGTTGGAGTTCACCCATGCTAATATTCACGCGAATTGTCCATCGAAAAGACTTCGTCCCGGAATGTAATCAGCAGATATGATGACTCGAACATAAAAGCGATACCACCTCCGTATGCATCCTGACACCTCCTGTCTTCGCAGAGACTGGAGATAACACTATTGTCTCCACGAGCCTGACATGGCATAACCCAGTAGACGTCACCTTCGATAGAAACTTAACCAGCACAATGAAGATGTCACGATCTCTGGCACGCTTTTCAATATTACCTGTTGATGATAGTGCACTAGATGGAACGGAGATGCTACACATGCATGCGTGAAGGCTTGGTTGCTTCACCGCGTCAACGCGCGGGCAGTCACTCATTCATGCGCACGTCAGAGGCCCGCGTCCATTGCTGGGCACTCTCCGCCAGTAAAGAGTGCTTTTCGAAGGCCCTGGGGGGTTCTGACAGGTATCCAAGGGTTTTTGGGTGATTCACCAAATCCGTTGAATGAATATGAAAACGAACTCGAGAGATTTCCTTGGGTTCCTCAGAATCCACCGCAAAAACGTCCTTGGATACAAGGGGTCCTCGGGAGGTCCCTTGGGTTAAAGGAGCCGCGATTGACGGAGTGTTCTAGAGTGAGCACCGACAAGAGAATTTGGAGTCGATGTTAGTGCACATGTCGTCTGAGGTCCATTGGGAGAACACCGCTGGCCTCCAATACCCAATGACCACCCAACGACCTTCCACCGTTACCGTTGGCACATAAATGTGTGGGGGTGGTTCTTCAGCTGCAAGGCGCTTCGCGAAGTGGGGTTTTCCGTGCGCTCATCGCCGACCGTGATGTCCAATAGTCGAATGTTTTGATTTTTCTATAGGCGATGTTGAAGCATTGTCGGCCCTTTGCAGTCATCTGTCTAATGTGTTTTGTCGGCTATTGTCGGGCGCATTGATGCAAACTTTGTCTGGTACACGCCTCGTGTGGTGCTATTCATGGCAGACGTCCTCCGATGGTTCTTGCTCCTGCTCCTAGCCACTCTTCTCCTGCTCCTTGTTGTGTTGTTCCACGTGTGCGTCGTTGAGCACGATCCTGGCAGCAGACGAAAACGACGAATGGTGAGGAAGATGACCATGGACAGGTGGGAAACCTCCAGCTGACAGCCTGCCGGAGAGATCCTCCCATCCCCCTCCCGTCCTTCTCCTCATCCACCATCTCTATGTCACCCACAGGATTACACTTGATGCCATGGCACAATAGAATTGCACAATCGATTCCGAGAATGACACACAATCGGGTGCATCCATCACTTGTTGCATCAGGTGCCTCTACCTGCAAATGGACAATCTCATCCTCAGGCGAGTTGTCGTTCTCTCAATGCGATAACGCATGGCAACGGTTGACACAGCTGCGAACACCGTGTTTCTCTCAAATGCCGTTAATGCCTTCGCACCACCCGGGAGCTCTCCCTCCATCTTCAGAACTTGCAATGCGCAAGCGCCCACCACTTGTCCGCCCGCCGGCGCCCTCGCTGCACCTTCTGCACGCCGATGGGGACCGCACTCTCACTCTCCACGTTACAGGGAAGCGTTACGTTCACACTCAACTGTGATGGCCCGAAGAGCATGCGGAACATGAAGGTGACGGCGCAGTAGAGAACCGTTCCGCATACACGCTACGTCCCCCAACATTCCAATGCCCGCCTTTTCAACCATGGCCGCCATCACTCCTTTGCATAGACGTTTGGATGAAGTCTCCAGTCCAGCGGCCAGGACGGCTCAGGCGAGGAACAATGGAGGGTTTAAAATTCGAAGTTTCAACCGGGATGTTGGTGCCCTTTTTTTTTCTTCCGACCGGTAGGCCTCCCCCCCGCCGCCACTGGACCACACCCGAGGATGCACGGACATCCCAACACGATGACGGACATCCAACCCCGCGGCCGGGTGTACGTGTATGAAATTGGCAACCGGAGACCTCCAAGGGTTTTCCTTGGGAACCATCGAATTAGGACGCGGTGTAACGACGGCGCCGAAAGCCGAAAAGTTTTCCAAGGACTTCATCCTGAACCCTGAGGATTTTCCAAAGAGGGTCTAACGAGGCCCTAAGGCACCCTGTCTCTTTTATTCATATACAAGGTACTTACCTTATTTTCAAGTTAAACCAGTCGGACGCAGTCATGGTTTTCAATTTTAAATCCGTTTTAGTCATGATTTCGTGAAGGTTGCTCCAAAGCGAGGAAAATCGTGAATGTTCACAACCTAGCTTTAGGGCTGGCTGGGGATGTGTTGTATTCGAGGATGCATGGACTGCATTTGAAACTAAGAACGTGATTGTTCCCTGGTAAACCCTTTTTCTTTTCTTTTCTTTTCTTTTCGGTTACGGTACAGGATGCCAATGCTCTTATACTCCCATAATGATTTGAACTCTAGTCTGCATTTCAACAATTCTTGGGTGTTCCCACTGACCTGCGGCCATGTTTAAGGCCCTAGTTGCATCACTCGCATTGCCAACATCTTGAATGCATCTAGATTCTAGACTTTGTTTCTTGAATGCATCTAGATTCTAGACTTTGTTTCTATCCAGATGCGATCAGACTCTTGGCGGATGCCGATTGGTCCAACTACGCCCTATTCATCCCTCTGCAGTCACTCTCTCACACACACTCCACACCCAAAATGAGAAAAAAACTGTATCTTTTATTCCTATACAAGGTACTTACCTTATTTCTCTAATACTATAAAGCAAGAAGCGGGTCTTGCGTGACGCTCCCGCAGGGGCCAGCGAAATTTGGGCAGGGAGGTCCGCGCGCGGTGCCGCAGGAGACCTAGGAGGGCGAGACGGTTGGGGAGGCCGGTAGCCGGGACGGGCGCGATCATGACGGGGGGGGGCGGTGGGCGGTCGGTGTCGGCGCGACTTTATGAACAGGCTCTTTTTTGCTACCGTTTTTTCTCGCACCGCGCCGTGGGGAGGTTGGGAAGTAGCATGTTCTAGTCGAAGATTCAACCAGGTAGTGTATGTTTCCATGTTCTAGCCGAATATTCATTGGATGTTGCTCATCCTATCGAGGGAAGTAGCATGGCGCGAGCCGCGAGGTCGAAGAGTTATTGTCTCTCTCTCTCTCTCTCTCTCTCTCTCTCTCTCTCTCTCTC